CGCTACTGAAAATACATTCTGTGGTGGTGTCTCCTCAAAAGAAGATTACACAGCTAGTATGCACCATCCTGAACTCCAGTATCCTCAACTCTGTTCTCACAAAATTAACTTAGAAAAACCGAATACTTCCACACAGCTAGTGGAAATCTTACATTCTGTCTGCAGAGAACACATTAAAACAAGAAGCAAAGGTTTTTATAGAAGCACTTATTCTTTAAACATTTGTGTGATCTCTTCTATCTACATATCCTTTGCAAAGCATTGTAAGTAACCACTGTAGTGGGGTTACATTAAATGTTATTCCTGCAAGGGGAGACTAAAGCAGAGGGAAATGAAGTGACTATGCTCAAGGTGAGTCAGTGGCTGATCTGAGACTAGAATCCAGCCCTTCTGATTCCTGTTGTTGGGCTTGAGCAACCAGACCATCTTTCCCATCAAATATATATTCATGTCCCTGTGAGGCAGGTGTGAGAGGACTAGCCATTACACCAGGGGTTCTCAAAGTGGAGCCACTGGAAAGTGTCTAATTTGCATATAAAGTTCAATTCTGCACTCTCTGTAGTTGGCTTGTGAAATTCCCTGTAAAAAGTAGCCATTCTTCAAATCCATGATTGAGTGCCCAAGCAGGTTAAAATGTTTCCCTATTGGTTTCTGTGTGTTACCATTTCTAATATTTGATTTGTGTCCATTAATCCTTTGTCGTAGATGTCATGATTATGAGTAGAGACAGTCCGGTTTGGCCAGTATCCATGGCAGAGGGGAATGGTTGGCACTTGATGGCATAGATCCACTCTAGCTCATCTGGCCAAGTGGGTTGTGCCCGTGAAAGCTCATATATATATGTGTGTGTGTTAGTTTCTAAGGTGCCACAGGACTACTCACTGCTTCTGCAGCTGCATCCAGAGGCAATTCATGGTAATGATCCCAGTTTTTTCTACTTGCAGCTGGAGATGAGTTAATCTCATCAAGGGGAGAGAGGCCAACAGTGCAAGAAACGGTATCCAGCCAATGTGTCATTTCAGCCCATTGAACTGCATGCAAGTTTTGGCTTAACAAGGCTTTCCAAACATAGGAGAGTTCCTGGGAATGTCTTGGTTTGTTTGGTATCTTGAAATGGAGTGTCTCTCTCTCCATTGACAATCTTACTTCTGAAGGTACAGGCTTACCTGGGCTATGGCACCAATCGCTGCAGAATCAGTGTTTGTGTTCTTCCAGTGGGGATAAGTACCTTTCCCTGCTTTGGTTTTTGTTTCACAAGAAGGATGGGGGGGGGTCTATTGCTGACACTATCAAATGGAGAAGATTCCTGCCTGTAGCCATTCAAACTTTATCCTATAGGGTGGTTTGCTCTAGGATCTGTCATTTTATAGGAACAGACATACTAGGTTAGACCAAAGGTCCATCTAGTCCAGCATCCTGTCTTTCAACTATGGCCAGTGCCAGATAGAACAGAACAGGTCATCAAGTAACCCATCCCATTGCCCATTCCAGCTTTTGGCAAATAGAAGCCAGGGACATCATCCCTGCCCATTTGGGTTAGTAGCCATCAATGGATTTATCCTTCAGGAACTTAACTAATTCTTGATTGAGCCCTGTTATCTTGGTTTCACAACATCTTCTAGCAAAGAGTTCCACAGGTTGACTAACATGTTGTGAGAGGAAATCCTTCCTTTTTTTTTTCAGCAGGTGCCTGTGGAAGTTTGTGGAGCAGCTGGACAACCTCATTCTTTGCCAAGTTCCACAATTAACCATGTAACACACAGTGTTCAATGCAACCTCCCACCACCCCTCTCCACAAAGCATCTTTGCAACCCAGCGGGGAGACATGAGATGTATGTTTTAGAGAGGTAGAAGAGGCAAAACAAGTAAGAAGTTCCTTCCCTGCTGGGCTGCTACCGTCTCCTCTTCACCTTGTTTTTCTTGTGGCTTCATCTTTGTTGTGTCAGAATAAGATGCTAATAAAATCAAGCATGGTTTCCAAATTGGTTTGAAAGCGCCATATTCCAATTATAACAGCCTAATTCCTCCTTCCATCCACTGAACCTTTTTGGTATTAACGGGCTTTACTATGCAAAGTGATGCAAGGGGCTGTTTCATTTACAGTAATTAAATGAATGTCAATTGTTTTAGTTGTTTCTGAGGGAGAGTTCTACAAGAGTATTAGCATGTTCTGCTAACCCTTCTGTGCTGCACTTCAGGCCTGCTGCAAACCCTTGGGGGTTGACCATTGACCTGAGACTCCATGCACAGACATGCCAAATGCATCTCAATGAGATGAGCTCTTTCTTTCTGTTTCTATGGAGCCAGCAGAGTGGAACTAATATAGCATTCGCATGTAGATGAAAGAATGGAGAGGAAAAAGGGCTTTACAGCTAAATTAATTAAGCAGATGTACCTGTCTAATTAGAGATGCACTGTCCCTTTTGTACCCTAGTTGCAGCGCAAACAGTATTTAAATGCATTCTTGAACCATTTCATCTATCAAAATATTTAGCAGGATGGGAGGCAATATTAGCAAGATGAGCTTCCTATGTATTATTAATAGAAGGGCTCCCAATTATGCCTAGAGGCTACTGTGTGTCCTTATGTCCATTGAGGAAAAACAGCTGTCCAATGTGGTTACTGAACAGCACATCTGTAACTGGGGAACTATTGTAAATACACTGGCCCAGCCTCATGAGTGTGTTTTGCAGTCAGGCCTCAACCCTGTATAAACTACCTCTGCTATTAGCCCCCTGGAGCTGAGGGTTGGAATTTCTTGGCACAAAACTGCTTAGTGATTCATGCTGCCAGTGCCAATAGCCTTAGCTCCCTTAGATTTCAACTCAGACTTGTAAGGTGAGATTTTCTAAGTGGCCCAGAGCATTCGCACACCTCATTCCCATGGTTTTAATTTTTTAAGAAGGGGGGAGGAGGGGAGAGAACCCTCTGCTCTAAATGCTCATTATCTGATCCTCATTCTAAATCTCTCAGTATCCCTGGGGCCATTTGGATAAAGGAGAAACTCGCCTATGTCTATGTATTTTGAATATGCAGAGAGAAGGTTTTTGCAGGCACTTTCCTGCTGGTTTGTATGTAGCCTTGGATAAACAGGATGCCAGACAGCCACAATCAGAGAAATTTATCTACTGTGAGCAGGACAGGGCTTAATTTGTCAGGATTTAGGATTGAGCCCTGCCATCTCTGGGCTTGGCAGTTCTCAGCTCTGGCACCTCTGGACTTGCTGCATCAGCTATGCATGTAAAAAAAAATGGTTGATCTCAGCCCCTCTCCCATTGCAAATTTAGCAGGACCAGGCAGAAGTTTTTTGGAAACAGAGATCCAGGGGACCTGCATGGCTGGGAACACAGCTCCTGAAGGAGGCAGGAGCAGCCCATTTTCCCATGTCATTTTATAATTCCTTCTGTGCCCTGAGAACTCACATTTATGTACAAAGAAAAGCACATCAGGATGGTAGATCGAGGCCCTAACACTCCTGTTGTTTCTCCATCCCTTTCCCAGGATCGGGGGGGAATCTGAGTTGCCCTGGATGTGGAGTGGTCTAGTTAACAGTGTTGCTGTGTAGCTACTATTGGCTAGTCTGCAGCGCTGGGCAACATAGAGCCTGGGGCTGGATCCGTCCCACAAACCACCCTGCCAGGACCCTCAGGCACATAGCTATCTCAGATTTAAAGAGAAGTCCAGTGACTCTGCTCTGGAGGGAGGGGGAGACTTCGTGTGATGGCCTTAGCCCAATCGTCAGCTCCTATTGGCCAGAAACAACCAGCCACTAGGAACAGAGATTGGCTTGGGGCTGGGGCCAGTGTAAGCCTCTCCCCGGAGCGGAGAGCCACATGGAGGGAGTAGCCTGCAGCTCTCAGTGATCTGGGGCTGTGGCAGGCAGGGAGCCCAGCCAGCTTTGGGGATCCTGGGCAGGAGATGCTTAGGTAAGCACCTCCCAGCCACAGCCTGCTTCTGGCCCCCCAACTCCCTCCCCCAGTTCTATGCAAACCCTCTGCACTCCCCTGGCCCCAGGTCATAACTCCCTCCCAGACTCTGTACCCCTCCTAAGCCCCTCCCCCAGGCCAAAATCATCTCCTGTATCCCAATCCCGGCCCAGGTCACAACCCCCTTCTTCACCCAAACTCCCTCTCAGACCTCACATCATCTCCTGCATCCCAGTCCCTTACCCTGCACACCTTTCTGTAGCCACCCTCCAGCCTAAATCCTGCACCTCCTCCATGGAAAAGTGTGGTCCTTGACCACATTCCAAAATCTTGGAGTGGAAAATAATAAAGCTAAAAAATTAAACCCCAAAATTATTGCCCACCCATGGTCTAGAGTCTTCCACTGACAACAGACTTACCAGACGTGGCTGTGACTTAGCTCTAGTTTGTTCTAGAAAGAGCGTGTGTGAATCGTTACCAGCTACTTCCTGACAAATGGCTACTATTAGGCCCCAGCAGTTCAGCTGTGGCTAATTTAGGGCAGTCACAGGTGTGGCGCTCAGGCAGCAAGGAATGAGGCAGGGTAAGTGTCTACTCCGAAGCCTGGATTTTCACTGAAGGGGGGTCTGGTGCATGTCTCCATGGCTGGAGAGGAGTTTAATTCTGAAACACAGGACTCTCTCACCCAATTATAGGGGAATTGATACTTTTTGGTTTTAGCTCCACTTGCTCTGCATCCTTTGCAAGCCTGTCCTAGTCACACTATTAGGACCTGTAATACTGTAACAGTAGATGCTATAATGCAGATGATATGCAGGTGTGTGTACTGCTGTGTCATCTGCACTTGGAGCAAGTGTAAGTGACATGGGGCAATACTTGCATTCTGTCTGCACTTCAGACTCTGCTGTTGCTACAGTTGATTCTAGTTTTCAAAGCCCTACTACCCTGTAAGATCTAGAATAGCATGATGATTTGCTCTATCATCCTATCTGTTTGTTCTACAGTGAACTGCACAACAGTGGGCTAGCTGCTGTTTGTGTTTGTTTGGAGGCTGTCAGTATGACTCCAGACAAGTACACTTCAAATGGGTTTAATATTCCAAACATGCATTCTACATGTGACACATTTCCTAAAAATGCTTTTGTTTCATTGACTCACCCAAATAGAAAAGGCCAGGCAGGTTAAACCTAATTTCTAAAAAATGAACTTCTTTCCAGTCTTGCTCTCTGGGATTATTGAATCAAAGAGCTTGAACTATCTAACCTTGTCACCATTTATGCTATTTGTTTATTATGTGCCCTTCACTCACTTTAGACAATGCCAGTCCACTTGAGTTCTAGGCCCCGATACTAGCCCAATGCTGCAATGTTGGGGTTGCAAACATTACAGGGAAAAGTTTAAATCCAAGCAAACTTCATTTTAGGAGGTTTCAAGAAGCCATCCCTATTCATTAATATTAGTTTTTGCAAAAAAAGGTGCTCTCCCAAATTTGGGCCTAAGTCACCAACAATTTGACGTTTCCTGCCAGTGTTTTGGACTAGCAGGGCATGCAGGGACTGCTGTTTTTAATATGTCAGGACTTATGTGGGAGGGGTTTAATGAGACAGCTTTCTATATACTCAAAGACAACGTAAGGGTCTTGGTCAGCATTGACATAAAAGGCCTCTTCATAAAAATCCCCAGGCAAACTCTGATATTGTCTTCTGTGTCCTTAGGGTTCTGCATGAGACGGGCTTGGACCTCTGGTAATGAAGCTGGTTTGTACATGGCATGATATCTAAAGAGAAGACACAAACCCCACTTCAGTTCATAAAGAAAATCAGAGTAGTGACAGGTGTTGCCAAATAAATACCTTGGTTTTGCTTATCCAAGGTTTTTTTGCTGCACAACTAACTTGGCAGCTCAGGCCCTGTCAAAATGATGTTGGGAAAGTTGATGACAAGTTGGCACTTCCTATTTATCTGTTATTACTGTTAAGGATCCTAGATACTGGATAGTTTTTCCTGAAGTGTTATAGTCCTCAATACTGATTTAGCACAATCAATCCCATAGGTGACCATGTGTCTATGCTTCTGAAGCCAAGGCGCCCATATGAAAGGCTCTGTTGGTAGGAATTTGAATTTTTAGGAAGATGTTAAAGGCATATCAATCTTGGCCTGTCGCAAGGCTCACTCCAGATTCAGTTTGTTCTAATTCTATAGTATGAGCGTGGGATTCTGCCCCACCTTCACTTGTGCAAACCCTCTACACTTTCCTGTCCCAAAAGCCACAGGAAAGTTAGCTGGCAATGGTGATTTCTATGGATTTAGCTGAGCACTTCCCTGAAGCCCACTCGATTCTGCACTGATTTGGGCCTCTGTTGGAGTACTCTGTCCAGTTCTGGGCTCCACATTTCAAGAAAGATGTGAAGAAACTGGAGAAGGTCTAGAGAAGAGCAACAAAAATGATTAAGGGTCTAGAGAACATGACCTGTGGGGGGAAGACTGAAAGAATTGGGCTTGTTTAGAAAAGGGAAGACAGGGGACATGATAGTTTTCAGTATCTAAAAGGGCGTTAAAAGGAGGAGGGAGAAAATTGTTCTCCTTGGCCTCTGAGGATAGGACAAGAAGCAATGGACTTAAATTGCAGCAAGGGAGGCTTAGGTTGGACATTAGGAAAAACTTCCTAACTGTCAGGGTGGTTAAACACTGGAATAAATTGGCTAGGGGGGTTGTAGAATCTCCATCAGTAGAGATATTTAAGAGCAGGTTAGACAAACATCTACCAGGGGTGATCTAGATCAGAGCTACTCAAATTTGGAAGTCCCGGGGGCCACAATGATACTCACAGTACAGTAAAACTCAGATGGTCCAGCATCTGATGGTCCGGCACTCCTGATAGTCCGGCACCATCAGGAACCCGGAAGTGCTCTGGGCAGCCGGACCATTGGAGCTGCTCTGCCCCCAGCTTCCCCGATTCAGCC